TATGTCTCTCTCTCACTGTTCTACACCTCCTTGCACAAGAGGCGCTAACTATCACGCAAGCATTGTGGCTCTCATGTCTGAATGGAACTGTAAGGAACACTACTGGATGTCTGAAATAGAAGAAACCATCACTTTCCATATAGATGAAGCCAGCAATCTTATTCCATCTTTGAAAAGGGCTTATCATTACACGTGTAGTTACATCGACATCACTACTAAAACATGCAAATATAGCAAACAATAGGCTTGTTGTCGCTGCAGTGTTTACTCTGGAAACAATGGGGATCACGCGGTGTAACTTTATAGGATTTCTTGTCCTTTGGTTACCTTAATGCAACTCATGTTAAATAGTTAGTGTGAATCAATCAACATGTTGATCCGTTTACACTAACAGTACACAAGGTTTTATCACTGGTGCTTGCACAAGTACAGCATGAGAGGCTTGTTTGTCCTCCTTAGACATAGATGACATATATGTATGTGTACAGATTATGTGATATGTACACATATTTCTAGTACATAAAGACACAAATTTCTCTCCAGGTGAAAAAAAGATTTCTACAGTTAAAGGACCAGTGTGTAGACGTTAGTGGCATCTAGTGGTGAAGCTGCAGATTACAACTAACTGAACACAGCTGGCTTCTGTATTTGATGACCTGGGAATGAGTGGAGTGGACACGAAACTCGTAGGACCTACCTACCATCTATGTTTGTTCTGGGCTACTGTAGAAACATGGCGATTCAACATGGCGGCCACCGCATAATGGGTACCCGCGGCATCTTTAGATAAAAACGGCTCATTATAAGGTAAGGTATATAGGTGATTATACACTAATGAAAACATACCTATGGATAATATATTCCATTTGAAGTAGACCTGCAACCGAGCTCTAAAACTTGGGCCATTCCGTGTTTAAGTACTTGAGATACCACTGAGTTCAACCAGGTTCACTGCAGCAGAGTCTCTGTTCTCCGCCTGTAAAAGGCTCAACAGTCCTTGTCTGTTGAGAAGAGAAAGCCAAGAGAGAGGCAGAAAAAGAGGAAAAATTAGAGGTTTTGTTCTGGTTGGTTGAACACTGGCTGCCTCTTGGAGTAAATGTCTTCAGAAGATTAAAAGTAGCATGGTTTACTGTCAGTGACTGAAGACCAACCATGGTAAATTTAGTTCTCTCACAAGAACTAAGTGGGACTAAATGTGTCTCCAAACAGCACTTTAGACTATTCTTACACAAGCTAATTTTGCTTCTGTGATTGTGAATGAATTAGGGAAGAACAAAACTGACAATAATAGCAGGATTATTGACTCATTCATTTTTAAAGTGCTTTAAAAGGTACTCAAAGACACTTTACGTTTAAGAGAAATAAAAGAAACTGCAAAGGCAATAGCAGTATAAAAACAACTACTATAACATAACATAATAAGAAGAAGCTACTTTTAACTGTGTAAAAATCTGTATATTTTTATGCATTTATATTTCTATTTTAACATTTTGCATTATGCCATTCTTGGAGTGGTCCCCAAAGGATCAATCCCACTGACCTTGTCGATCTTCGGACTTTTGCTCTAGTGCCACCATGAGGTTCACGTTTAGGGTTTTGAGTAAATTGTCTCAACTATTGACACTATATGATCGATTGCTATGGAATTTGGTACATACCAGACATTCATGTCCCTCTCAGGTGGATTTTTTTATGACTTAGATTATCCCTGATCTTTCCTTTTGTGCCATCATCAGGTCAAAATATCAGTTTGTTCTATACCTATCTAGTTTGCATTTAATGTTAATTAACTAAGATGGTGAACATAGTAAACATTATAAGCATCAGCATATTAGCATTGTAACTGTGGGCATGTTAGCATGCTGATGATTTGGCTCAAAGCACAGAGTACAGCATCAAAGTGCAGCTAACATGGCTGTAGACTCTGGTGCCTTTTTTAATCCATCAATATAATCCATCAATACGTTGACCATGCTGCTGTTCAGTTTAGGCAGACACTGATCAACGGCTCACCTTGGAGGGTTTGATTGATGAATCTCCTGTGCTCTGACTGAATTTGGAAAAGAAGGACAGCATGAGGAGAAACAGTGAACAGGTTTAGTGGAAGGCCAGGTTTATAGGGTCTCTTAGAGGATGGAGAGCTGAGTTATTATTATAAGGATGTATATGTGTGCTCCTCGCGCTGTTGGCCTTGTGTGTATCTTGTAAAAACCCTTTCTGATGAGAAGCAGCGGTCAGGGAGTGAGTTTGTACAGTTGATATTTAAGCTGATATGGGGCAGATAAGATGTAGGTTAAAAGCTTGGAGCAGTTTTTATGATATTGTTTTTTGGCGTCTCTTTTGAGTATTTATTGGTGCATGTATGTTGTTCTTGTGATTATTTATTCCCTTCTCTTTTTTTGAATGAATACATCTACTGCAGCCTTGAACCTTCAACCAGTGTCTGGGGCTTATCATATGTCCAAGTTTCTTGAAATCCCGAAACCAGATTTGTCTTTACTGTTTAAGTCCCCACAAAAGCCTGAACAATATTGACCTGGAAGGTAGAAGGTGAATTTGAGAGATGCCTGCTAATCCTGTCATATGATACTAATCTGGTCACAAACAGTTGGCCTCTTAAATAGAGATGTGACATTTGAATACTGATCATTAGTGGGTTACACCACAGATTTTCCCTCCGAATACACATTTTACTATTGACTACTATTTGAGTAACTTCTGATAAAAGGCTGAAGGTATTAAGGTTGACTAACTCTTTGTTGGTTTTGGTCTTTTAATTGGATTAGAAAAAAATAATAAAAAAAACACTAGCTTTACCTTTAAAACTTTATTTCACTTTAAAAATGTACATAAATCATTGTCTCTAATGTTTGCATCCTAAAGAATATAATACCTTCAGATGGCTTTTCAGTGTAGTTTAGTTTCAATAATGTGACATGGATTGATAGAGAACTTGAGTTGGTCTCCAGAAGGTTTTTATTAGTATGTAGAAACAAAGAGCCTTTGCTGGACCTACAGGGCAGCCCTGAGTCAACAGGCCATGGGAAGGATCACACAGCCTCTCACAGACACCTAACTCAGGACAGATGAAAACAGGGAAGCAACATCTGCTTAAGAAATGTTACCAATGCAAAACAAATGGTTCACATCAAACCTCACTTTCCTCTTTATTCATCATCATGTAATTGTGTGTTTGCTTACGTGAACGCCTCTATGCGCATCAACGGTCAGCTTTACATTTTCAGGATGTGCACATTATGCTGTTTCACTCTACATTAGCCTTTTCGCTGCAGGAGAAGCTGGGTGGAGTGAACCTTGTGATGCGCTCCAACCAAATGTGGGCCTGCATGTTCGCCTTTGTTTTCCATGTGCCTGCTCTTCCATGAGCGCACCTGAGCTTTGAAGCTGCCCATTGCCCGAATGAGATGGGGCCTCTGTGCTTGTGTGTGTGTGAGAGAGAGAGAGAGAAAGAAAGAGAGAGAGAGATGGGAGCAGGGATGTAAGCATAGAGGACAAAGATAGCTTTGATCACACTGGAGTGTCACTAATGTCTTGCTCCTCTCTGTCAGAACATCTGAGGTACCATCACAGGTGTGGATGAGAGTGAGAGGCACGCAGCAGAGGAAAAGCTTCTGTTTATTATCAGTTTTAAATGTGATCAGCAATATTTTTTAGCTCGAGTTTGATTATTTTTTTATAGTTTTTGTTAGTCGAGACCTGAGAGATCATGTTAAACATCCTGCTGTCTGCCCTGATCGATCCTGACAGGCGTTTAAGGAGCTTCAGAAGGAGCGAGCGACTTGCATCAATACTAGTATGTATCATCCTTGGGACATAGTTAACATTGTTGTGTCTGCTGTGTATATCCATCTTCCCCATGCATTTTATTATAAGATATTTGGTGAAAACTGTCTCTTCTTCAAACATACTTTAGAAATAAGTGTGTGTTTCCCTTGATGAAGTATGGCTGCAGGTTTGAGAGTTGTTCATCTGTCTTGATCCTCTTCTTGTTGTGACCTGGCCTTTCTGGAGGTCATCCTCTGCTTGCAACCCTTAAGACATGTCTGCTTCTCCTGACTGGCGGTATTTTAGCCTTGCAGGATTATGTCTGGTGGGAATTAACCCCTTAGACCACCTACGCTGCCTCCAAGCTCTCCTCCGCACACAGAGGAAGTAATTATTATAGGAGCTAGATTGGGGGAATGTGATTGCTCAGTTTGTTTGGAAAAGATAGGGTGAAAAGATATGGTGTGCCTCTGTGGTCATATGCTCACAATCACATGCACTGTAACAGTGGACACTGAAAACTTTCATAATGTCAACCTGCTTCATCATTTTGCGTTTCTCCTGTGACCCACATTAATATTGCATATTGTTTTCTGTAAACAGAAGTAAACTGTGAAACAATACATGCTGAGATTGTTGCATCCTGTGGGTGGGGTCTGGTTTAGGGAGTCATAGGAACTTAACTGAATGGCTTTTGTGGTTTCCTGTGAGGTAACTTATCAACCACAAACCCTGCCAATGTCTCTGGTCTGAGATTTTTTTTCAAATAAGGACTCTGTTTAGTTTATTGACTCATTGTGTATTGTATCAGATGAAAACGACCCGCACAAACACCGAGATGGGAAATAGTTTCGGTCATTTCTTATGCGACTAACTTTTTAAATATCCTGCTCACACAGTCTGCTGTTTTGCTCTGACTACAGGCGTTGTGTGGCTTAATTTACACCATAGCTTTTCATTAACACTTTCCTCTCAAACTTGGGATTTGAATGCTACCGTAGCCCTTGTGTAACACACTAACACAACATTCACCATCATCACACAGTGAAAGTGAGCATTCAGCATCAGCAGAGACAGCGGCGTCGCTTCTCCTTATTGTATCCCGGACTGTTTATTCTACGGGATAACAGGGGTGGACACTTTTTGTAGCCGCGATAAAAGATAATGTAAAACAGAAATTAAACCAAACGATGAACTAACAACACGTGGTAGTTTGTCGCACAGCAAAAAAAACGTCATTACGGGTGACTTTTAGGGGTAAATTGACAATGCCCCCGTTTTTACAGAGTATTGCACCCCTTCGTACGTTCAATGGTCCGCTCCGCACAGACACGACACGGCCGAGAGCAGGGAGAGGTTTACTCAGCCTGCCATTGCTGAACACCGTCCGGGTGATGCCTACTCTTCCCAACTTTTCATCCAGAGGTTAGCGACGAAACATCAAAGCAAGGTGGTGTTATTTGCTCTTTTTTTCCAACTCGGGTTCCTTCCATGACTCGATACCCAACTGGACTAACGTTAGCGACCCAGGCAACGAAGATAAGATAATGAACTTTGGACTTTCCACACGGCTTTTCGTGACATGTTTCCCGTCGTCCAGGATAAAATAAAATAACAACGTAGCCCGGCGTGGCGGCAGCTGGGCTAAAAATTCAACTGGAAGGAAAATAGCGCACTCACCCAAGTGATTATCAAAACAAAAGACACCAACAACTTTTTACCTGACACTTTTGAAACGGAATAGGAGTGTAAAATGTCCTCCAAAGCGCCAAATAAGGTGGGTACCTGGCCGGATAAAATCCAAGTGTAAAGTGTTTTGTTCCAACAACATTACGCCGCTGGCTTATGTAAGCTAATGTGTAATGATACACTGGAAAGCTAACATTGGCTAACATATGAAAAGTGGGTAATTGTGCTATATAACTTTATAGACTGCTGATAGTAGTAGTAACGCTATAGCATGCCTAATGGTGCTGGTGTGTGTGTGTTTGTGTGTGTGTTTAGGAGAAATCAACACCTAGTGACAGTGTACAGCCAGCCATGCTGTTTCTACTGTGCTAGGTTTAAAATAATCTGTCTTATAATGGCTGTTACTGTTCATAAGCTGTCACTGATAAGTTACCCAGCTGTGTTCATAGTATAGGTCTCAGCTCAGCTACCTGTTGATATGTAGACTCCCAGTCTTAATAGTTTATTAAAACAGTGGCAGGAAATCGCCATGGATATAAAACACTGACTGAGCCTCTGCAGCAGAAGGATCCCGCTGTTACACGTCAGGTAGCCCAGAATATAGTAAACTAGAAACTACATTTGAGCATTTTGAGTATATTTTCTGTTTTAGGTTATGTTTTTTCTTCTTATTGTGCTTTATTAAAGAGTTGTGAGTCTGTATTGGTAGTAAGATGATGATAACTATTTGGGAGAAAGAGCCACTTGTTACCCAAAGTGTGATCTTTATAAAGACTATTGTTGTAATGACTTTAACTAAATGAACTATTGCTAAGTAAAACTACTGGTATTCCCCACTTTCAGGCACCCCTTCACTCACTTGTTAATATGAGCTGTTTTCACCTCCACCACTGTACCAGCTGTGTGCAAATGCTGTCCATTCATTAGTCAAAAACAGCTGGATAAATATCTGCCAAGCCTTGCATATATACTAGTTTTATATATTTCATGTTGTTTTTATACTATCAGTGAAACATTCTTGGAAAGGTCAGGTGTTGAAGCCGAACAGTTTTGAGTATACATGCTGTAGGCTTTTATCAGTAGGTGACCCCTTTATGTTTCCACACATGCGCCATGTGATTGCAGTGTCAACATATATGAATTTAATAATACAAAGACTTTGGTCAATATGGTTTTTAGTGCGTCAATCCACAATTTGGCCTTGTGTGTATTCAGTATTCTTTGTCTTTGAGGGAATTTAGTTTTTTCGGTTTGACAAGTGAGGAATGTGCCGTGTTTGTTTAATAGAGGTGGTGATATTCAGGTCTAGTCGGTTATTCCAGTTAGACGAAACCAGCTCCACTGTGTCAGCGGGTGACGTTATGATGGCCATGGTCACGCCTTGACATAAGACTTACTACTGTAGTGTGCTTGTAGTTGGTATTGAGCCAAGTCTTTCATAGGCTTGTTAGTAATTTCCGTGTTTCTTCTTCAATTTAGTTTCTCTGTTCTTTTGGGAACTTGTGTTGTCGTGTTTTATTACAGTAGCTAGGAATTTTGAACACTGTTGATTAAAAGTGAAAGTGTAAGACTGGATGACAGGGTTGTGAATGCATTTCCTGCAACATAATTCTCAGTAATGCTCAGCAGTAACGTAAGCAACAATGATTAGGAGTGCTGAAAAATGTAGGGAACCTTGATGTAGTAGATGTTAGCATGGTCTCCATCCTTTAATAAAAGGACTACATTTTCCTGTTGGTGATTATTAGTTATATTCTAACTATAAGTGTCACGTATAACCAACCTTTACTACACGTTTATGTTTTTTAAAGGTGGAAAACAGAAGACCTGTCCTCTTTCCAACTAACCTTTGTTCTGCTAGTCCATGCACTCAGTGTTTGTGTATATTTTAAGGGAGCTTCAATCAGGATTTTTAAAGGCCAATCACGAATTGCTGGACGCAGTATCAGCTAATACTCATCACTGATAGACTATATAGAATATGTCTTGTACATATTCAGCGTGTTAGGTATTAAAATTAAGAAATGATTGTGCATCATGAATTGACAGCTGTTTATTTATTGGCAGGAAATGTGCAATAGGCCTGTACGATATGAGCAAAATATGTGATGTGTGATAACATTGTTCAGTATTGCAATGACTATACGACTGCAATAAATAAACAAATACTGAAGCGTACATGTTAGCTATACTCTTCCTAGGCCAGCCTAGTTGTCTTTAAATTCTAAAAGCTGGATAAGAATTGAATATTTACAATAAACCAAATGTTGTTTCTAGAGTCACTATAAGAACTCAATAATATCTCACTGTAAACAAATCTAAAATGTCAATAAAAAGAAATAATATTCCTGACATCAAAATACTGAGTGAAGTTTAGAGTATCAGTATCAGTAATTCATCTTTTCCTCCTCCTCTAACACTGGTAGGATAGGAGGGGATGGTTTATCTTAATTTATGTATTATAAAAACAAGAATTTGCTCAGTTTCAAGGTACGTGGCAAACTAAACTAAACGGACGACATACAAACAGCTTATATTTTGGCAGCTCTTCAGTATTAGCTGAGCTAGCACATTGTGCCTGTGTAAAACATAGCTGAGGTGGATGAGAGAAAGTGGACGGAGTTCACAGTCCCAAAGAATGAACTATGAACACGTTCATTTCTTCAGTTTATTTAATGAGCTGCTTCACTAAATACTGTGAGTTTGATTTGGGCGGAGGACCTTTGCAGCTGCTGGCTTGTGGTCTTCTAGTTAAACCACAAGCTGAAAACTCCTTTCTTCTCTTTACTTTTCTCTGCTGAGATGTCAAGTGTCCAGCAGGTTTTATGCTCTATAATGATAGACTGTATAATAACTCTTATAAACATCTCTGAGCCGACTTTCCAGTGAAACTTGAGGCCACTTGGCATTGTGTGTTGGGAACACCTGATATAGCTTTCCTGTGCAATAAAATAAAATGCTTAATATCAGTGTATTAACTCCCACCTGATGAGTTGTGATAAACTGTCATAATACCAGTATTAGTCACACACCAAGTAAAGCTGCAAGTTAATGATAAACGGTAATAAAATGCTGCTGTGCTGTCTTTCTGGAAAAGAGTAACATCTATGGGTGTGTTGATGCCTCAGAGGCCAGTAACGCTATTATTGTGCAATAGAGTGTGTCTAAAGTGTGTCATTAGGTGAGTGTGATGTTGTACATTCACTCAGTTGTGACAACCTTTCCAAAAAGAATTAGCGTAAAGAGAGATGAAGTACTTGTCTAACCTAATGTAATGGAAATTGAAGCTGCCTTTCAGTTTCTCGTGATAGATGTACACTACAAAATAACAGTTTATGTTAATTGCTGTTTAGAGGAGGATGTGTTTCCATGAAGACGGAAAAGGAAGTATCTTTTTGTTTGGTGCCAGAGTTCCTGTTCTGGCACCAAGGAGAGAGGAAAGGACAGTGATTTCAAAGCTCAGTGTAAACTAACCAGAATCACAGCCTGTATTTAAAGTGTTGTTAAGTCATTCAAGAATGTTTTAGAGTTGCTGCCATTAAAGGCTTTTTTCTCAGTTAAAGAAAAAAAACCAAGCCAGTCAGAGACTGTTGGTCATTTTATGAGCAGTGTCAGAGTCAGACAGGTCAGACATCTTAAATATAGTCTGGTTATGGTGGTTGGCTAACATTTGATCATAGGATGGCAGCAGCTAAAAAAGTCAAATCACATTTAAAATGTCTTTAAGTTTGATTGATCTCTTCGTACATTTATTTTAAAATGAATCAAGCATTGAATTGATATCAAAGAAGTAGGAAACCCACATTAATCCACTCAGTCCTTCTTCATTATAGTAATGCTGGCCTCATTCTTTGTTTTTGGCCTTCAGCCAGACCCGCTTACTTCTGTGAATGCAACACAAAAAGATTCAACGTAATTTAGAGCATCAGCAGTCCCTCCAGCCTTTAGACAGACTGAAATAACACATTTGGATGGAGGTTGTATTAATTAGAGTTGCACAGCGGGCCAAGAACAGCCTCTATTTTGCTTTGATGATTACACATCTCCATTTACGTCAATGAAGGAGGGAAATGTAATTAGAGGACCAAGTGCTAGGGAGAGGAAACGAGTGCTAGTGGTGTTTTTGTTCTGTGTCTTACACTCACCATCCTTTTTAGATACTCAGGGCTGATGTGGAAAGTGATAAACATTAAACAGCTAACGTCTAGTGTCTGTGACAAGGAGTTGTCTATAAAACATTTATCCAATCATCTGCTGATACACTTCCCAAAGGACTTCACAAGCTTTCATTATAGCACATTAAATGTCACTTATAAATCAACCCACCACCCGCTCAACTGTAGCCCGTCCAGGAAAAACTCCCCAAACAATATCGTTCCAGTATGTGTCCAAAATGGACAGCTAATGTGCATGTATGCTACACTGGGTTTCTGCATACACACGTTTGTCAACACAGTCTGCATGGTCATACATGTTGGGCTGCATGTGGGCAGTCAGCAGAGCATGCTGCCATGCAGATACAGAAAGCGCACATTGGGCTAGAGAGAAATTCCTCTTGCAAGGTGCTCAGGCGTGCAGTGGGCTGTGTAAGAAGTGTTTTTGATATTCAATCGGAAAAGAAGGACCAAACAGTATAGAAGCGGGAGTCAACCGTGTCACAGGGAAGCTGGGTCAGGAACCACAAAGTACACCAACAGTGTCCAGTTGCAACCTCAGTATAAAAAGAATATGAGACACAAATGCAGCACGCAAACTTTGTTACATTCCAGCTCACACTAACAGACAAGTCTTTGACTGTACCCCCCCCCCCCCCCTCCCCCCCAGGCCTTAAGGGAGAGCGAGGTGTAGCTGTCTCTGTAATATAAGAATGAGAGGGCTGCCAGTTGCCCATACTTGAGACAGCAGCTCGCGGGCCCCCGTTGGTTCAGCTGGGCTTCAGTTTTTTGGCTAGTTTTCCTGTGGCTGTGACCTAATCTGGATCTGAACACTAGTATGTGTTCATGTCATTTATTTAGTCTAAAACAAATGTTTAGGCATAGGTCATGGGAACATGAGAGACCTAAAACATAAAGAGAAGCTTACCTTTAA